CAGAAGTTGATTGACAGCATGCCAGGGCGAATTGCAGAGGTCTTGAAAAGAAGGGCCAATACTGCAAATATTGACTCTCTGCATAAATTTTATGTAATTGTCAATAAAAGCCTTTGACACTTATGAAATGCTTGCAATTATACTTCAGTATACCACATAAACATCTGACAAAATGATCTACAAACACATAAGAAGCAAACTTTGTGAAAAACAATCTTCTATCATTCTTTTTTGGCCACTTCTGTAATAATAATAACAATAAAAACCTTCACTTTGCTGCACCTTGTAATGCCACTGCTCTTACACAGCAAAGTCTCAGGGCCTAAATACTAATCTTTGCATATGCTGGCCAAATTAATTTGTTTTGTTTAAATGGATGAAATGGCAGGCATGTGTGACTAGCATTTTGTAAGCTTGGTAAGTTTTTGAACCACACAGAAGACAAAAATTATCATAAAAACATATGTCATAATTTCTCAGATTTGAAGCTTATTGTTTGACTTTAAAACAGTTGCTTCTAAAATAACCATCCATTCGTCCAACAGCCACTTCTACTGGATAATGTCATGGGGATGTTGTTGGAGCTCATCCCAGGAAGTTTAGGGTCGGAGGCAGGCTTGCCTCCTGGCTGGCATGCTCTTCACGGGGCACGCACACTCACACCGACAGTCAGAGCGCATGTCTTTACATTATGGAAAGAAAGCGGAGTTCCTGAAGCAAAAACCCTCGACAAGAACCTCAAAAAACTCTATGCTCAAGCATTGTGAGGGTGATAGTGCAAGTTTTCATATTTTCCTGAACAACAGCTTTTATACCAAAAACACTAGCAATAAGGACATCCCAGCTTGGCTGGGAAAGCCTCAGCGCTCTCCTGTTTTACTAAACAGCCACTTGCGTTGCCACAGACTTCCGGAGATTCACTGTAAACATGCAGATTCTGGGCTATTCTCTTCCTTTTCAGCGAGAAAAAAGACCATATGTTAAGCAACAAGATATAAATGGCCCTATCAAAATATAAAGCAAGACAAATCTCTCAATGAATCTCACTTTCCCGTTTAAGAGACTGCTTTGCTGAAGACGCAAAGGACCCTGGGAATGATTGGTGCTGCGTTAATTAGTAGCTGCAGTGCGCAGTTCCGGGTGTTTTTACTCTTGTCTTAATAGGAACACAGCTGTTCATGACAAAATACATTTGTCTACCTGTCTTACTAGATTTACCCTAAACAATATAAATAGCAGTGTAACCATTTTTCTCATTTGTCTAGTCAGGAACTAATTAATAGGCATCTGTTTTAATTAAGTCTGAAAAAACTGCACGTATATCTTATTTTTTTTTATAGGCGCCCCATTTTCAGTTGAACAAATATTCTTCTCACGGAAAGCTAAAAATTGCATTTTTTTGAGTAAAATAATATAATGACCCTTGGCTTACCTAAATGCATATTGTGGGACTTCACTCATGACCTGTTCTTACCCCTGCAGGGAGTTAATTAATTAATTTAATTAATTAATTAAATACAGATGGTTTAATATACTTGAAACAGTTTATTTTCTTAAACACAATGTTTTGTGGCTAAATGATTGTTAATGTCAATCTAACCCTTATTATGTGGAACCTGCACAGAGGGAGATACATTAAAGTCTGGACCATTAAGTCGTCTAGAACAGATCTTTGTTGTCAAATCTGAATCCGATTACTCAAAGTGGCTCAAAGTGGTTCAGCTACAATATCCTTGTTTCCTGCAAGATATTTTATACATCTGCACATATCCAGTGTACACTGATATTTGGTTTATATGGTCCAATGAGAATATATTTTTAATTCATTTTGAAAGGCGATACATAACCTGGGGTAACTTTAGCTGCGTCATTCATGGAATATGTTTTTATCTGATAATGGAATATTACGTTTTCATCATCTGATTGTCAAGATGCATTCAGCAGTTGTCCTCAAGGTGCCCCTATTGGTCGTCCCCATTTGGCAATCATTTGATAATCGGGATGAGCACGTGCCTAATTATACAATTAGTATCAATTAAAAGGTCTCTTTGCAAATCAGTTTGTTGCTGATCTTTGTAAACAATTGAGAGAGAGACAAACAAAACCTGCATGTCTGATTCTCTCAGCCTCCTATTGCTGCCTTGTGCGCTTAGTGATCACATTTATTTTGCATGAAATGCAATTTCTCTAAATCAAAAACGGATAACTCTTGAAAGATAGGTATGTCTGCGAAACGGAAAAAGCAGTGATCGCCTATGCATTTGAAGAAGGGAGCCTAAGTCGAGCTCTGAAGAGCAGCAGCCATTAGCATGTGATAATTGTGAAACTCATATAGCGTCTGGTCAGCTATTCCCAAGACTGCTGACATGCATGAAAGCCAGCAGCTTTTCTGTTCTGATACAGAGGATACTTATATTTGCACTTTTGATTTGTTTTTCACAGACAATAAATTACATGATATTGGAAGGTAATTGCAGCTGCATCTACATGCTCTGAAATAACCCTCCCTCCTCCTCTTGTCTCAGTTTTATTTGTGTGCATATGCTAATATTGATTCACCAATAAAATATTTTACAGTGCACAACACTTTTTTTAAATCACATACTCAGTTTTTTGCATTTTTTGTAGATGGTGTTATTTCACTGTCTAAGGGATCTCCATCCAATCACTGAAAACACCTGTGAACATTGTCTGTCTTCTGATGTGTCTAACTGGCCTGCAGTGTTTGTGACTAGCTGAGTAACTGAAATGATTGTATTGTGATGCCTGAGTGACAGGTCCAGCATCCGCATGTTGACATCACAGTGGCTCAGCTTCTCTGTATTGCGGCTCTCCCCTAAGAGCTTAGCTGTGCCCTGATGCGGACATTCATTCTGCCGTCACCCCTATTATGTTGTTCTGTTCCTCTAGGTCAGAAGTGCCTTTGAGACAAAGGATGGCAGCCCAGCACAGGAGCGCCTCTGTCTAGTTCGCTCTATATCTGGTGCAACCTCTATTATACCATTTGTAGCCCTTACAGTTCTTCCCCAAACACATCTACAAATCTTCATGATAACCTCAAAGAGCAGAGCCAGAAGCCAAAAGGACCAGAATCAACATTCCAAATGCACCCTGCAAGCCGGTCTGGTGTCCCGCATAAAGAAAAATGACCTTTATATAAAGACTGATTGTCTCTAAGCTTACTTTTAAAGTTCCTTGGAATTAACTCTGTCACCTTCATGTGTGCAGCTGCTATTTTCGCCTTGATGAACGAGCTGTGTGTTTCTCGTATGTGTTCTAGTGGTGGGCAAATTTAATAATGCATGTATTATGCGAAACACTTCATTATACTGACTCAACTCTAATGAAGAAGATCTTATTTGAAACAATTTAAAAATTGTTTTATATTATTACATAGATCCATAGTGCTAACAAGCCATAAGCATTTAATCTGTATATATTTATACATATATTTTTGAATTTCTTATGTCGATTTAAGATCTGGTTTTAATGATGATATAGTTTGGAAGAGACTAGAACATTTCTTACCTAACTTAATACAGGCAATTATACATTTTCTTTAATGCTTTCAGATTCATTCTGTCATTCTAAAAGATGCTATTTCAGTTTTCTTTGCCGGTTATCCGAAATTCCATTTCTGATCAGGTACTCCCATTTATTTTATTAAATTAAAAAAAAAGTTATTTTGTCTGCATATATTGTCCCATATCAGATATACTGTATATATTTCACACAATCACACTTTTTCATGCAAATGTGATAAAGTAAAAGAAAAAACAGTTTGATAGTAACCATATATGCAACCCAGTTGTTTATCATAATGCACAGGCGTGCTGAAATATTTGGTGCATATAATTATTATGTTGGTTCAATATTAGTAACCAGAAGGTGTTTTCTGTATGTCGTACATTAACTGCATGCATTAGAGTCTGACAGCTGGCAGATGTGAGCTGCCATATTGTTATCAAGTTACTAAGACAGAGATAAAATAAATCTGCAGATCCAAAGAATTTGCTTGCCTAAATTATATGACTGGATGCTTAGCAAATTATAATTATCTAATTTAATACAAAAAAATGATTACTTGTAGGCAAATTGTTTCAAACCAATATAGTTTATGTATGGTACAAATTATTTTTAAATATATGATATATATTTTGTTTTTCATATACAAGTAATTATATTTGTAAAAATGTTTGAATAAAAACTCATACTTTCAAGTAAACATTTTAAAGAAGGATAAGAAATAAAAAAAAAACAAGGAAAGATATTGAATTATGACATTTTAAATAGAATAAGTACTCAGAAAGAATATAGTGTGTGCTGTGTGGTTGCATTTTGAAATATGAATCGCTGTTGCAATGCGGCCTTTCTCTCCGCGGCCTGTTGTTTCTGCATACAGAAGATACCCGACCTTCTGTGGCCTCATTCAGCATCGACGTCAGTTACAATAGCTGACTGCAATGTTATGAAATGTTTTTGAGGGTAACAATGTTAGAGCTAGAAGGAGTTTACAAATAATTAAGCCATAAGTCATAAGCCATAAGTCATATTTAATGACACTTTTGTTTCCATGCATTGATCACAAACTTTTCCTTCCATTTCATGATGCTAATGAAGCTGTCGGTGATTCATGCGTGAAACTGTAACTATAGGGGTTTATGTATAGCTTTAATTGAAAGAAAATAATAATAATAATAACAGTAGGCCTATATGTATTTCAGAGGTGCATTTTGTGACGCACTGAATTATGTCCTAATCTTGTTTGTTTTTTCACTCTTGACATACATAATAAACACAGAAGTAACAGAACTCTCAGGATCAGCACACAGTTCCTACATTTTCATGTTTCCAAAACCTTTAGCATGGAGAATGGTGTGATAGTTTTAGGACGCTATTACTACAGGAATATGTACATAATTTTTTCCACGTGTGAATAGCACTCATTGTGCCCTGTTCTCTGCTGCTCTTCTTTTAATGATTGCGCCCTTTTCTTCCAGCACGTCCATGTGCATGTGCTGCCAAGACGGACCGGGGATTTCCAAAGAAACGACAGCATTTACGATGAGGTAGTGTGCATCTTTTTTTAATGTCTGTATACATATTTCAACATCATCTTGAAACATAAGTGTGTGACAATTACAAAAGGAGAGGAATAGAAGGGTATTTTCTCTTGTGTATTACAGCCTTTTCTACTTTTATATAAGGTTATTATAAATCATATCAAAAGCACACATCTTGTATTTTTAGTGTTTTCGTAGGTTTATTGCAGTAATTTGAATCAATAGGTGGACAGGTGTGACAGTACAGAACAGCTAACATGTTATACTCATAAGGCAATACAAGGTTTCTTATGAGTCTCTGAGGAGAACAGAACATACAGTCTATGTGCAAGTCCCAGCAGTAAAATATATTTTAAATTTGCTTGTGATAATATGTTATTGTGCAGGCAGCTCCGCCATTTATAGTTTTATATGTCATAACATTTGCAGTAATAGGATTTGTCTTGGAGATATTTTTCTAGAATGTAAATAATGATTGATTGTTCTCTGCAGGTCCAGGCCTTACATACGTTTTATAACCTTAACCAGTCACATTCATTTTTCTCAACTAAGACAATTGCATTGTAGGTTCTGTTTAACATCAATGTGAAATGCAATATGTGGGTTCTCATAACTGGGGTTTTTGTGACTGGACTGTGAAAAGACATAAAGGTCTCAGCGCCTAAGCTTACTAAGCCTTTTGTCTTAAAGGCAGCCTGAGTTAAAGAGAATGAACTGGCGCTTAAACACATTGATTTTCAGCAAGCATAATGAATTAGTTTAGCTAATTACCTGGATGTATTGCTAATGGTTCTCGGTCATTAAGCTGTCTTCTCCGGCAAGCAGCGGGATGTCACCGTAAGTTGTTTGTTTTATTCTAACGACGTGGACTCTGGAACGCAGTGTGGTTTGTTTGAGGCTCAGGTTCAATGTATCGAGATATGCAGGAGTACCATACTGTATGACTGTACCCTCACAACGGACTATGCTTTTTATGCAAGAGACACAGACTGCCGTGTGCTTCATTTCTTCCTGGTGTGTGAGACATCAGCTCCAATTATTTTGCAGTGTTACCTTGCAAAAACAAATGTGGTTTATCATACTTGTTGTTGTTTTCCATATATGTTTTTACTGGAACGTGACTCACGTTGTCAAGATGTTCTTGTATGAAGCTGTAATGGATATCTCGGGAAAAACTCTTTTGTTGTCGAGGTGAAAATTTTAAGAAAGCTTCAAAATTTTAAGAAAGATTCAAAAATTAAAGAACGCTTCAAAAGTGTTCTACACTTATCAGTCTGGAGTGTATTATTCTGAAGGGACAACCTGCTAATTATCATAAACTACAGTTTCCAGTGAAACTGCAAATAATGAACTTTAAGTTATCAACCTGAGAATGTGGTGTTTGTGTCAGAAGTTAAAGGAATATTATCTCTTCATGTCCGGATGCATATGGTACTTCCACAAGATTTGTACTCTGTCTTATTGTTTTTCATTGTGTTCACTGGATTCTGGTCTAAGGAATAATCTAATTAGATTAAGATTAACTTTATTGATCACAGGGGCAAATTCAGGTGCATACTGCAGCAAGAACATAGTGCACAGACAAACATACATATAGTACCAAACAGACAAGGTGCAATGACTGTACACACAGTGCAAAACACAGTAAATGTAGTGCAAACCGGTTTATAAAGAACACAGTAAATGTAGTGCAAACCGGTTTATAAAGAACACAGTAAATGTAGTGCAAACCGGTTAATAAAGAACA